CTAACACCATACACAAAAATAAGCTCAAAATGGATTAAAGACCTAAATGTAAGGCCAGAAACTGTCAAACTCTTAGAGGAAAACATAGGCAGAACGCTCTATGACATAAATCACAGCAAGATCTGTTTTGACCCACCTCCTAGAGAAATGGAAATAAAAACAAAAATAAACAAATGGGAACTAATGAAACTTCAAAGCTTTTGCACAGCAAAGGAAACCATAAACAAGACCAATAGACAACCCTCAGAATGGGAGAAAATATTTGCAAATGAAGCAACTGACACAAAGGATTAATCTCCAAAACATACAAGCAGCTCATGCAGCTCAATAACAAAAAAACAAACAACCCAATCCAAAAATGGGCAGAAGACCTAAATAGACATTTCTCCAGAGAAGATATACAGATTGCCAACAAACACATGAAAGAATGCTCAACATCATTAATCATTAGAGAAATGCAAATCAAAACTACAATGAGATATCATCTCACACCAGTCAGAATGGCCATCATCAAAAAATCTAGAAACAATAAATGCTGGAGAGGGTGTGGAGAAAAGGGAATACTCTTGCACTGTTGGTGGGAATGTGAATTGGTACAGCCACTATGGAGAACAGTATGGAGGTTCCTTAAAAAACTACAAATAGAACTACCATATGACCCAGCAATCCCACTACTGGGCATATACCCTGAGAAAACCATAATTCAAAAAGAGTCATGTACCACAATGTTCATTGCAGCTCTATTTACAATAGCCAGGAGATGGAAGCGACCTAAGTGTCCATCATTGGATGTATGGATAAAGAAGATGTGGCACATATATACAATGGAATATTACTCAGCCATAAAAGAAACGAAATTGAGTTATTTGTAGTGAGGTGGATCGACCTAGAGTCTGTCATACAGAGTGAAGTAAGTCACAAAGAGAAGAGAAAGACAAATACCGTATGCTAACACATATATATGGAATCTAAGAAAAAAAAATGTCATGAAGAACCTAGGGGTAAGATGGGAATAAAGACACAGTCCTACTAGAGAATGGACTTGAGGATATGGGGAGGGGGAAGGGTAAGCTGTGACCAAGTAAGAGACTGGCATGGACATATATACACTACCAAACGTAAAATAGATAGCTAGTGGGAAGCAGCCGCATAGCACAGGGAGATCAGCTCGGTGCTATGTGACCACCTAGAGCAGTGGGATAGGGAGGGTGGGAGGGAGGGAGACATAAGATGGAAGAGATATGGGAACATATGTATATGTATAACTGACTCACTTTGTTATAAAGCAGAAACTAACACACCATTGTAAAGCAATAATACTCCAATAAAGATGTAAAAAAAAAAAAAGACTTCAGAGACCTATAAAAAAAGAAAAAGTTTGGCTAGCTATAGTATTGCCAGACACAGTACTTTAAACATAAAGCTATACTGACTTTATTTTCTTTAAAAAGCATTATTAGAGATAAAAAAAGTCACTGCACAATTGTAAAAGGTTCAATTCAAACTTATATATGCCTAATAATTTAGCCTGAAAATAGATAAAACAAAAAATTTGAATACTGTAATTGTAAAAATTATAATGTAAAATTGAAAAGGGATAGAGTGACAGAGATATATTCATGTTTCAAGTAAGTGACCTAGTAAGCAAAAACTTAGTAAATATATAGTTGATTTGAACAACATAATCGGCAAGTTTGATTTAACAGGCATATAGAAACCTGTATACCATAGTTAAAGAATGTACATTCTGTTTAAACATACATGAAACATTTTTTTTAACTGACCACATAATAGACCATACAGGTAATACCAAAAGATTTCAAAGAATGGGTATTGTATAGATCATGTTCTCCAACTACAGTGAAATTAAATTAGAATTTAATAAACAAAAAACAGTAAGTTTGAATATATTCATAAAATTTTAAACGCATTTCTAAATTATAAGTCAAAAAAGAAATCATGATGAATTTATACATACTTAGAATTTAGAATTTTAAATGACATGAAAAATACCTATCAAAATTTGTGGGACACAATAAAATGATACCTTGAAGTAAATCGATAGTCTTAAACAATAAAATTAGAAAAGAAAAAATCCTGGATGTTATTGAGCTAACAGTCAGTTTACATTATAAATAGAACAGCATGAGTAAATTGGAAAGAAAAGGAGAGAGAGAGCAGAAATTAATGAAATAAAAATGAGATTGAAAGCAAAGAGTTGATCCTTTAAAAAGACAAATGCAATAGACAATATTCCAGTGAAATTGGGCCATTATAAAGAAGTGTAAATAGATAATATCAGAAATAAAACAAGGCAGAAGTACAGCTATTGACAGAACTTAAAAGAAAGTGCTATGAGAATAATTTAAGCTAATTAATTTTACTGCTACTAAAAGAAATGGTCAGATATCTAGAAAAACACACTTTTTAAAATACCTTCAAAAAGATTTTTTTAAAAGTCTGATTACCGTTGGAAAAATCAAATAGTTAAATATCTTTCCACAAAGGAAAGATGAAACCCAGATGGTTTTCTAGGTGGGATCTCCCATGCTTTCAAGATATAGATCATTCCAACATTATATAAAATCTTCCAGAGAATGGGAAAAGAAATAATACACTTCCAACAAATTCTGTATGGTGAATAAAACCTTGGTATCAAAATTAGACAAATATAATCAAAGGAAGATCATTTCACTCCTGAAAATATATGCATGGAATGGAATCTAGCAGTGTGTTTAAAAAAAAAAAGGAAAAACCTTGATCAAGTTTGGTTTAGTGTTACAAAACTCATAAAAGGAATTCACAGGATTAAATTAATCGTATGATCATTTCAATATCTGCAAAATTTTTTAATAAAAAAGCATACATTGTTTAAGTCTCAGAAAACTATGATGGTAAGTTTATCTGCCAAGAACCTATGTCAAATATTATTCCTAATGGTGAAACTGCACAAGTATTCCTTTCAAAATCCAGGAAAAAAGGCTACCACCATCATTTCTATTCAACATTCGACAAGGTTCTTGTCTTGCTTTAAGACAAAAGAAAGAAAAAGAGAAAAACAAGAGAAAGTTATAAGGATTGAAGAAGAGGGGGAATAACAGCCATAATTCACAAGTGATATAAATATCTACAGGTAAATTATAAGGATTAGAGTAATGAATCAGGTGGCTAGATTTAAAATCAATAATCCAAATAATCTAATGCATTGCTCTCAATCAACATCATAGACCATACACTAATAAAAGAGGTAAATGAAAGTTGTGCATGACCAGCTTTGAAAGAAAATACTATATACTACTGAAAGAAAATTTTAAAAGACCTTCATAAATAGACAGATAATTGTTTTATAATTACTTAACATGCTGGTCTAAAATTTTTATGGAAGAGCAAAGGTCCAAGAATAGCCAAAATACTCTTGAAGAAAATTAGATGGAGTTATATATCCTATGAATTATGATGATTTATTATATAGCTACAAAATTTGAACTAATATGAAACTGGCACATGGACTAAATAAAAAGTATTGATTAATGAAACAGCGGGATGATTTGCACATACCAGTGCAAACAGAAACTTTATAAACGGCATTGCAGATTCTAATGAAAGGAGGTAAACTAGTCAATGTGTGATCTGAGGAAACTGGACATTCACAGAGAAAAGGAACTTACAAAACTAGATCCCTATGTGATACCACATCAAAAAAATTATGCCAAATGGTTTAGAGATTTAAATGTGAAAAGACAAATTTTTAAATATTCACAAGGAAACAGGATAATACACTCAGACTTTTGAGCTACAGAAGGCTCAGAAGGCTATAATTTCTTTAATAAGATAAAAAATTGCTAAACCTAAAGTTATAAATTCAGCTACAGCATACATTTTCACACACACAAAACAATTAACACTAAGGAACAAATTATTAACAGATATTTACAATACATATAAACCAAAAAGGGTTTGGTATCAAGAAGTTATAAAGAACATTAAAAGGCAGTAAGAAAATGAAAAATACCACAGCAGAAAAATAGGCAATGTTTTCTTCATTTCTTTCATTCCTCTCCAAAAAGGAAATATAAATGACCAGTAAATGTATAAAAAGACGTCCAAACTCATTAGTGACCAGGGAACTGAAAATTATTGCTATAATGAAATATATTAAATTTAGATTGGCAAAAATGAGAAATTTGAAGATCCTGGTATTAATAGTGACATAATCAAAACGAATGCTTATACACTATTGATTAAAGGTATAAATTGGTACCACTTTAGAAAATAATTTGGTATATCTTTTAAAGTTAAACATGAGCACATTTAATGGCATGCAATTCTAACCGTAGGAATATACGTTAGCTCTTATAATAAAGTTCATAATAGAAAACAGCTGGAATCAGCCCAAATATTGACTGACAGGATATAGATATGTGAACTGTGGATGAAATATTGTACAGCAGTGAAAATGCATGAACTAAAGCTCAAAAATAAGCATAATCAAGCAATTTCTTTTAGGAATATATACATATACAATAAAACTATTTTTCAAAAGATGGAAGGAACTGCCACATACAAAATTCATGCTATTGGTTACCTCTTGGGGAAGTGCAAGGGAGAGAATAAGGACTTAGCACAGGCCATAGAACAGTACCGATAAATTTCTAATTTTTAAATCTGGTGGTGGATTCATGACTACTCTTTTTTTTTTTTTTGCTTTAAATTTGCATATAAGTTTTTATGTACTATTTTGTATGGATCAAATATTACACAATAAAACACTTTAAAATGTCAAGCTCTGCATAGCACTTGATATTTAGAAATTAATTGGTACATAAATATTAGCTCTTATTATTCTTTAAAACTTAGAGCAGAATCAAATAATAGTGACACTAACCATTAATTAATAATCAAAATGATTGTGTAAATTATAGGGAAGATAATCGAAACATCATTTTAAATAATTCAGTAAACAATTATACAAGCTATATTTTATTTACCAAATAACTTACCTAATGTGTCACATTTCTCTCTAGCTCCACAAATGTCTTCCCTTAAAACAAAAGATTTTGAAGCATTTTCAGAAAATATTTTTGCAACATGCCAAAACAAAGATAAAGAAGCTTTAACTATGACATGACTATTACCCTAAACCTAGAGTAATGCACCATTTTTGCATATCAATAAGCAATAGGTGCTATATAAAAGTGATTGCTGTGAACAGCTGAAGCTTAACCAAGTTCAATGAAAAGCTTTCTAAGTGTATTTTTCTCCTCTCTGCCTTTATTTATGCAGTAGTATATGTAATATACTCTTGATGTTTCAATGCCTTTATGAACTTCGGCTATTATTCTCAGCTGCAAAATAATGATGTTCTCAGATGTTACCAAGTTGCTTAAATGTTTTCCTTCTTAAATTACTTAGTCCTTAAACATTCATTATGACAGTTCTCTAGTCTCCTTCCTCATGGTCTCCTCTTACAGCCCTTTTCCTCCCTCCCATCATTAACCTGTTATCTTCAGTCTTTGCTGCTTGGCCTCTAACTATAACCCAGGGCAGTACCATGGATTGGTAATAGAATACTCTGTATAAATTTGAGTCAATTCTGTTTTAGTTTAGAAAAGAAATAAAGCACATGGACAATATGTCAGCTGTTTTACATGGACTAAAGGTTTTCATTTCAGGGTTCTAGAAAGCCCAAATTTCTCTGAGTCTGACCCTCAAGCAAAAGATTTTTCCCCCTTGGCCAAGCAACCAACCGAAACAAACAACAAACTCAGGATCTAAATATTCTGGTAGCATGACCGTTGCTGAAACAAAGATGTGAATTAACAATGTATAGTGGTACATGTAAAATGGATACTCATTTTATAATAGCAGCAGCTGCATATAAATAAATAGGTTTGAGAAAAACCCTAGCAAAAGCAGCCCGGTAATTAAGTCATGCGTTGAGCATCAAAACAAGGAGCAGATAGATATTTTTAAGTATAGGGCGTCCAAAATAAATTCAAAGGCTTTCTTTTACAAGCGATTTAAAGGTCAAGTTAGGGAAGAAACAAAATGTGTTCTCAGTTCCATAACTATATTAATTTCCAAGTAATTTTCCTAATTCTTACTCTGTCACTAATATAATAAGGAAATTATCTTGTTTATGTCAAACCATTACCTAGCAACTTACTGTTGCTAATTTCCTAAGGAATCAGGCCAGTGTTCTGGTCTGAAAAAAACAGAAGAATGCTTTCATTCAATGGTATCTTTTGTAATACAAGTTCTCATAGAATGTTTCTATGTATTATCGATAAAGAATTAACGTAAGAAGAAGTACAGGTGATCACCCAGGAGATAAAGGGTAAACAATTTCATTGCAAGCATTATTTCTAGAACTGTACCTAGTGATAAGAACAGCAGTATCATGGTGGGATGGGTGGGCATCATCTAGAACATTCTGAGTTTGCTGCCATAAACAGAAGTTGCGTAACGTGGTAGCCGCATTAAAACTGATGACTGGTCCTTCCTACACACAAAAAATCAGCAATTTAACATTACGTCAAAACACTCATGGCCTTTTTCCTTCCAAGCCTGTCAATGTTTATGCAATTCATTAAATAGCATTTTCACAGGCAAATGAAGAAGTGGTATCATCTCTCCCTCATATCTAAAACATATTTCAGCAATACTTAAAACACTGTGATCAAAACACAAAAATTAGACCTTCCAATATTTGGGATTGAAAAGCTAACTTCTGAAAATTACTATATTTTAAATCTTTCAACAGTAGGATTATAAAAGTGAATACCTGAATGTTTTCAACCTTAAATTTTTAAATTGTTTATTAATTTTTGTTGCTTCCTCTGTTGTCATTCCATTTTGTTTCCATCACGACAGAAAAAGTGAACCCCACTCCTTTTCAAATCAAGTTTTGTAATATACATTTTAAAAATATCTCATTTCTAATAAGGGTTTCATGATCTCTCTATATATTCCCGCTAAGAGCCTACTACAGCTAGGATTACTACTTTTAGAACAGTTTCTTACCTGTTCATCATGAATTATAACTAATTTTACAATTACTATGTTTATAAGATTTCCAATACTTGAGTCCTTGTAGATCGCTGCAACCTGCAAGGAAAAAAATATAAGATTAGATGCCTAAAATGAACACCTTTTCTCAAAAAGTAAATTGAAACCAGTCTGAGCCAGAGCATCAATTCTCCAATTTAGCTGCACACTGGAATCTCCTAAGGAGCTTTTCACAAATCCCTAAGCTCAGGCCACATCCCTTATCAATTAAATCAGAATCTTAAGGGCTGTGACCCAGGCATCAGCATCTTTTAAAATTCCCTGGCTTTTTAATGATTCCAATGTGAAGCCAAGTTTGAGAAACAGTATCTTAAATCTTGCTACTGAGATTTCACTCATTGATCAGCAGCATCTGTATCACCTAGAGCTGATTAGAAATAAGGAATCTCAGGCCCCACCCTGGACAGGTGAGTCAGAATCTATATTTTAACAAGATCCTCAAGTGATCTGAACACGCATTAGAGCTTGGAAAATACTGTTCTAGATGATTCAGCAAAAAATTCACTACATTCTGTGTCACAATCCACAATTTATGTGTCCACAATACACCATAAAAATAAATATAGGGGGCTTCCCTGGTGGCGCAGTGGTTGAGAGTCCGCCTGCCGATGCAGGGGACACGGGTTCGTGCCCCGGTCTGGGAAGATCCCACATGCCGCGGAGCGGCTGGGCCCGTGAGCCATGGCCGCTGAGCCTGCGCGTCCGGAGCCTGTGCTCCGCAACGGGGGAGAGCCACAACAGTGAGAGGCCCGCGTACCGCAAAAAAAAAAAATAAAAAGAAGGTCATCTTGCTCATTTAATTGTATGCACCTCCTATTGTTTTATGTATTGACCTTTATAATCTATGTGCTCACACTCTATACATACATACCTTTTATAATATTTGGATATTTAGAGGTGCTTTTATTGAATAACTATTCAATTAAGCTGAATTGTGAATCAGGCAGATGAATGACCAGAAGGCCCACTTGTTACTTCAGAGTTTTTCCCAATTAGCATGCACAACATGCTTCTCTTATTCCTAAAACTACCACCCCATATTAGGTCACCATAATGGTAGGGTATCCATGTTTGCTACTTCCTCATAAATACATAACTAGAAATAATATTTATTGAATGTTTACTATGTTTGTGATGTGATCTAAGTTTAAATGTATTAATTCATTTAGTAATTCTCACAACAAATCCTATGAGCTAGAAACTATTGTATCCATTTTACGGATGAGAAAACTAAGGTACAGAGAAGTTAAGTAACGCACTCAAGGTTAGGTGGCTGATAAGCAACAGAACAATTTCCATCCAAGGCAGTCTAGCTTCAGCTCTGACTACTTTATCTGATCTTATGGAGCGTCAGCATTCTACCCTAAGTATTTCCTAATTAGCTCTTGGTACAAAAGTTATTTCAGAACCCTGATGTGGTTCATGCCCTAGCCCCTGACACTGTCCTGCTATAGTCACTTGAGCATGGCCTCAGAAGTCCTACATAGTCAGGAGACCTGGGTTTTAGTTCTAGCTCTTATCAGTTACAAGCCAGTTGTCTAACTCTAGAAATGGATGTATCTACTTTTTGGCTCAATACCACAACTACATTGAGGCACTGAGCACCCTCCGTCACAGTGCCCTGGTGTGCTGGATTCGTATTTACCAGATGCTGTTGGGGAAGGGGTGTGAGAACATTGGTTTTAAAGAACAAAATCATTCCACAGTTTGAGAAAAGTTGAGTAAAAATATTAAACAGATGCCTTCATGGAGTCTTGAATAGGCTAACATATATGCATAAATATTAAATCTACAAGAGAGGTATTACATGCAGCATCTCACACAACAACTTGGCCAAGTCCTCTCTTCCCTTTCATGGAACATGCCGAAGGACGAGTATCCCATCCCAGACTACACTGTAGGAACTGCTAGATTAGATTTCTAAGGTACCTCTTCTGTTTTATAAAACCATGGAATATTGTTAAATTTTACTGTAATCACTCCACTTTAGAGTGCTATATATTAGAACTTTGATTGATCCAGTTGAAATGTATTCAATCTTTTATTCTTTTTTTATCTTTTAAAAAATTTTTATTTCATTTATTTTTTTATACAGCAGGTTCGTATTAGTTATCCATTTTATACATATTAGTGTATATCTGTCAATCCCAACCTCCCAATTTATCCCACCACCACCTCCACCACCACTGTTCCCCCTTAATGTCCATACATTTGTTCTCTACATCTGTGTCTCTATTTCTGTCCTGCAAACTGGTTCATCTGTACCATTTTTCTAGGTTCCACATATATGAGTTAATATACGATATTTGTTTTTCTCTTTCTGACTTACTTCACTCTGTATGATAGTCTCTAGATCCATCCACATCTCTACAAATGACCCAGTTTCATTCCTTCTTATGGCTGAGTAATATTCCATTGTATACATGTACCACATCTTCTTTATCCATTCATCTGTCGATGGACACTTAGATTCCTTCCATGACCTGGCTATTGTCAACAGTGCTGCAATGAACATTGGGGTGCATGTGTCTTTTTGAATTATGTTTTTTTCTGGGTATATGCCCAGTAGTGGGGTTGCTGGGTCATATGATAATTCTATTTTTAGTTTTTTAAGGAACTTCCATACTGTTCTCCATAGTGGCTGTATCAATTTACATTCTCACCAAGAGTGCAAGAGGATTCCCTTTTCTCCACACCCTCTCCAGCATTTGTTGTTTGTAGATTTTCTGATGATGCCCATTCTAACTGGTGTGAGGTGATAACTCCCCATAGTTTTGATTTGCATTTCTCTAACAATTAGTGATGTTGAGAGGGTTTCATGTGCTTCTTGGCCATCTGTATGTCTTCTTTGGAGAAATGTCTATTTAGGTCTTCTGCCCATTTTTGTTTTTGTTTTTTTTTGTTTTTTGTTTTTTGTGGTACGCAGGCCTCTCACTGTTGCGGCCTCTCCCGCTGCGGAGCACAGGCTCTGGACGTGCAGGCCCAGCAGACACGGCTCATGGGCCCAGCTGCTCCGCGGCATGTGGGATCCTCCCGGACCGGGGCACAAACCCGTGTCCCCTGCATTGGCAGGCGGACTCTCAACCACTGTGCCACCAGGGAAGCCCCGTAAAAGTTTTTAAGTATCATTAGATCCCATTTGGTTATTTTTGCTTTTATTTCCATTACTCTAGTTGTTGGATCAAAAAGAGATCTTTCTGTGATTTATGTCAAAGAGTGTCCTTCATATGTTTTCCTCTAAGAGTTTTATACTGTTGACTCCTACATTTAGGTCTCTAATCCATTTTGAGTTTATTTTTGTGTATGGTGTTAGGGAGTGTTCTAATTTCATTCTTTTACATGTAGCTGTCCGGTTTTCCCAGCACCACTTATTGAAGAGACTGTCATTTCTCCATCCTTGCCTGCTTTGTCATAGATTAGTTGACCACAGGTGCGTGGGTTTATCTCTGGGCCTTCTATCCTGTTCCATTAATCTATACTTCTGTTTTTGTGCCATTACCATATTGTCTTGATTACTGTAGCTTTGTAGTATAGTCTGAAGTCAGGGAGTCTGATTCCGCCAGCTCCGTTTTTTTCCCTCAAGACTGCTTTGGCTATTCGGGGTCTTTTGTGTCTCCATACAAATTTTAAGATTTGTTGTTCTAGTTCTGTAAAAATTGCCATTGGTAGTTTGATAGGGATTGCATTGAATCTGTAGATTGCTTTCGGTAGTATAGTCATTTTCACAATAATGATTCTTCCAATCCAAGAACACGGTATTTCTCTCCATCTATTTGTATCATCTTTAATTTCTTTCAGCAGTGTCTTATAGTTTTCTGCATACAGGCCTTTTGTCTCCTTAGGTAGGTTTATTCCTAGGTATTTTGTTCTGTTTGTTGCAATGGTAAATGGCAGTGTTTTCTTGATTTCACTTTCAGATTTTTCACCATTTGTGTATAGGAATGCAAGAGATTTCTGTGCATTAATTTTGTATCCTGCAACTTTACCAGATTCATTGATTAGCTCTAGGAGTTTTCTGGTGGCATCTTTAGGATTCCCTATGTATAGTATCATGTCATCTGCAAACAGTGACAGTTTTACTACTTCTTTTCCAATTTGTATTCCTTTTCTTTTTCTTCTCTGATTGCCGTGGTAAAACTTCCAAAACTATGTTGAATAAGAGGGGTGAGAGTGGGCACCTTTGTCTTGTTACTGATCTTCGAGGAAGTACTTTCAGTTTTTCACCATTGAGAATGATATTTGCTGTGGGTTTGTCATATATGGCCTTTATTATGAGGTAGGTTCCCTCTATGACCACTTTCTGGAGAGTTTTTATCATAAATGGGTGTTGGATTTTGTCAAAAGCTTTTTCTGCATCTATTGAGATGATCATATGGTTTTATTCTTCAATTTGTTAATATGGTGTATCACAGAGATTGATTTGTGTATACTGAAGAATCCTTGCATCCCTCGGATAAATCCCACTTGATCACGGTGTATGATCCTTTTAATGTGTTGTTGGATTCTGTCTCCTAGTATTTTGTTGAGGATTTTTGCATGTATATTCATCAGTGATATTGGTCTGTAATTTTCTTTTTTTGTAGTATCCTTCTCTGGTTTTGGTATCAGGGTGATGGTGGCCTCACAGAATGAGTTGGGAGTGTTCCTTCCTCTGCAATTTTTTGGAAGAGTTTGAGAAGCACGGGTATTTGCTCTTCTCTAAATGTTTGATAGAAGTCACCTGTGAAGTCAACTGGTCCTTGACTTTTGTTTATTGGAAGATTTTTAATCACAGTTTCAATTTCATTACTGGTGATTGGTCTGTTCATATTTTCTATTTCTTCCTGGTTCAGTCTTGGAAGGTTATACCACTGTAAGAATTTGTCCATTTCTTCCAGGTTGTCCATTTTATTGGCATAGAGTTGCTTGTAGTAGTCTCAGGATGGTGTGTATTACTGCATTTCTATTATAACTTCTCCTTTTTCATTTCTAATTTTATTGATTTGAGTCCTCTCCCTCTTTTTCTTGATGAGTCTGGCTAATGGTTTATCAGTTTTGTT